AATGCCATGTCTGTACCCAAGCCCAGAGGTGCTCCAAGCAAGAGGACCAATAAAGAGAGGCTAGGCTGATGTTTACTTTTCTAGAGTGACCAGGGAAACAGAAGGTGCGTCCAACGCTGACCAGGAGGGAAGAGTTCATCCTCCACGGTCTCTAAAGCTTTTCATCAGCACCATGGTTAGGAAGACCTGGGGATGTTTAGGAGGTTGAGCCTTGTGAGAGGAAAAGTTACTGAGGGTGGACTTTGAGGGCTTACAGCCTAGGCCTGCTTCCTGTGTGCAGACAAAACGAGCACTTTGTTTCCTGTCAGGTCAAACCTACGCTCCCGCTGCCATACCTCCTTCTCCAGGATGGATTGTGTCTTCTCTAGAACTGTGAGCCAAAATAAGCCCTTTCTTCCCTGAGCTGCTTTGGTCAAGGTATTCTAGCACATCTCCAGGTGAGTAACCGATACAGACACTCACCTCCTTTGATAGGGAGCTTGTTTCACTATGCTCCCAATTAGACCTCAGAAAGAGAGGTAGGGGAGGGAAGGGAAAAGGAGGAGAGGAGGGGAGGATAGGGGAGGGGAAGGAAGAGAAGGGGAGGAGAAAAGGAGAAGGGAGGGGAGAGGAGGGGAAGGAAGGGGAGTGGGAGGTAGCCCAGTCAGTAAGGTGCTTGCCCTGCAGGCAGGAATGGTTGAGTTAGACCCAAGAATTCATGTACAAGAGCACTGTGTCTTAGCTGCTTTTCCTTAGCTGTGATAAAATACCCACACAAAAACAACTTAGAGAGTTTCTTCTGGTTCACAATCAAGGTTACAGTCCATTGTGGTAAGGAAGGAACGGCAGCAGGAACTAGAGACAGCTGGTTACGCTGCATCCAGTCAGGAAGCAGAGAATGGGGACACGTGTGTTCAGTTTGCGTCCTCCTTTTAGGGCAATCCAGGATGCCAGCCAGGGGAATGGTATCACCCACAGTGGGAAGAAGTTCCCATCTCAACCTGATCATTTACCCTACAGCCCCATCTCCCAGGTGATTCCAGAACTCAGCAAATCGACAGTTGTAGCTAACACATTTGCTTATGATTGGCACATGGTTGTTACCCCAAGGCTGCGGAGGTAGGAGACAGGTGGATTCCTGGGCTTGCTAGCTCTAGACCTCCAGTCTACCTAGTCACATTGGGGAGTTCCAGGCTTGTGAGAGAGCCTGCTTCAACAAAGTGGATAGATAATGCTTACAGAATGACAGCTGAAGTTGCCCTCTCACCTCCACGTGTACTCCACTACATACATGAATATATGTAGACAAAGAGAGAAATGAAGGACTCTGCTCTCTTCCCCCTCCCTGTCCTGCTTTCTTTTTAGGTTGCCAGTGTTGACACCAATGTTCTCTTAAAGTATTATGAATTTCTTGCCCTGGCAGCTGGGAAGCTGTAATAAACAACCTCCATCCATGCCCCTTCTTGATCTGCAAAACCTTCTAAAAATGGCCCATCTGTTGTAACACAGGCCATAAAGCTCAGATCTTTCACTCCAACTTAAGATGAGTCCTTAGGTCATTCCACTGGAGAACATCCTCAAACTTCTGCTGAAATGGTTCCATGGAGGCATATAAAGAAACAGTAATAGCCAGCTGTAATGAATAATATAAACTTCTCCCTTGGCTTGAATTTCCCTTCACTCTCTGTAGCTGATTTCCACCCACAAGAAACCAGGAAATTAATTAATCTCAACATGTGTGGTCTAGGAGACCTGACTTGCAATAGCCAAGATGAGTTGGATGCAGAAGAAGTGATTTCATGGACAAAAGGAAGTCTGGGATTGGAGAGCTGGCTGAGTGGTTAAGGCTACTTGTTGCTCTTGCAAACTGGAGTTTGGTTCCTAGCATCCATGTTGGACTTCACACTCACCTGCATCTCTAGCTCCAGGGGATCCACTGCCCTCTTCTGACCTCTTTAGGCATCCATATACACATAAACACAGGTAGACACATACGTGCAAATAAACACAAAATTTTAAGTCTTAACAAAAATGTACATTAACAGGATGATGCAGCACAAGTCAGTGACTAATGGTGTGTCATGATTTTCCGTTCAAATGGTACATGCACAGAAAGACACATGAGCACACATCAAGGCAAAGCCACATGAGCAAGAAGCAAAACAAAGATGAGGGTTCCACAGTCTTATGTCCATTGGAAAAGTAGGTCTCCGATAACCTGAAGAGCTTCTGCTGCTCCGCAGAGATGGCTCACAGTTAAGAGTTCTTTGTGCTCTTGCAAAGGATTTAAGGTCAGGTCAGTTCTGAACACCAATGTTGGGTGCTTCACGAATATCTGTAACTCCAGCTCCAGGGGATTAAATGCTCTCTTCTGACCTCTGTGGTACCCACACACATGTGCAATTATGCACTTGCTGGAAAATGGCTCAAGAATGGAATCATGTGAGAATTCTGAGGGCTTGTGAGAAAATTCCAAAAAAAAAAAATAGATAAGAGTCTTGTGACCTGTTTCTTCAAAAACACAGAATTGTTCTTATAATGTGCTCTTGTGTCCACTCCCAGGAGTATCGGATGGGAGTGTGCTTCCTTTATATTATTCATTACAACTGGCTATTATTGCTTGTTTATATGCCTCCATGGAAAAATATGGTTTGTTTTGGCCACATGTGACTTACCTTATCCTTATCCTTATTCTTGCAACTGAAAAGTTTACTCATGTGACTCTTAACACTTAGAGTATAAACTGTCTGACGTTCTGCATAAAGTTGGCTATTGCATGAGACTTTAGTCCACCTCATTTTTAGGCCCCACTCTTCCAGGTTTATATTGCTAACCACAGGCAGACAGACACACAGATACACATATAAAGAAATAAATTAAACTTCATAAAAAAACCAAAAAATATTTTTCTCCATGACTTTTCAATAACTCTGTGTATTTATTTATTTATTGGTCTGGGGTGGGCGTTCAAGATTCAAAGCATGACAGATGACAATCACAACTAGACCAGTGGTGAAAGAAGAGAGCCTGGACTCTGCGAGAACCACGGGGACAGCAGAGAAGTGTTGGGAAGGAATTACACAATTAAATCACCAAATACTTCAACCGTGTTGGTTTGGAAACAAGGAGGGTGGGGTGTAGCAGGAGTTAGGGTTTGAGGCTGTGGTATGGATCACAGTGCGGTCACCGAGTGCCTTCAGGAAGGTGTTGCTGCTCTAAGTGTGTCCAATTCCTTCTATGTTGCTCTCAAATCATCTCACCTCCATATTTGGGGGAGAATGAACTAATCATTGTAAAGAGGCCAGACTTCCGGTCCTGATTAGTTTTAATTGTAATCTGGAAGCAGCCTAGAACCAACCACCTGGGGGAAGACTCTTGCTGAGGAATTATCTAGATCACATTGGCTTGCAAGAATGCCTGTGGGGGGCTGGAGAGATGGCTCAGAGGTTAAGATCACTGCCTGCTCTTCCAGAGGTCCTGAGTTCAATTCCCAGCAACCACATGGTAGCTCACAGCCATCTGTAATGGGGTCTGGTGCCCTCTTCTGGCCTGCAGGCAGACACACAGACAGAATATTGTATACATAATAAGTAAATATTTTTTTTTAAAAAAGGAATGTCTGTGGGGAGATTGTTTTGTAAATTGGTGTAGGAATACACAGATCATTTGTGGTACCACTGTCTAGGCAGCAAGTCCGGAACAATGTAATAGAAGAAAAGCTCGCTGAGAGCAGGCAAGCAAGGACACACTATTCTCTCTGTGCTCCAGACTGTGGATATGATATGAGCAGCTTGCTTGAGTTCCTGCTTTGACTTCCCTGTGATGATGGTCTACAGAAACAGAACTGTGAGCCAAATGAACCCTTTCCTCCCCTGAGCTTTTTGTCAGGGTATTTATCCCAGCAACGGGAAACACTACTCTGTGACGAGGTACTTCGTGGCTCAAAACGGTGACAAGCTGCCTGGCAGCGACAACTTAAGGGAGGGAGGACTTACTTCAGCGTGTGCTGTCAGAGGATGGTGCGGGATACCATGGCAGCTGGAAGGTGTGGTGAAGAACTGCACATCATGGTGACCAGGAAGCAGAGGGAGAAGACAGGAAGGGGCGGTGACTAATCAGCATGCCTGTGGCTTCTTCAGAATGGGCTCGCACTAGTTAGCCCAGGATAGCCTCAACTACATGTCACTGATTCATCTGTTTCTATGTCTGAATTATGTTCCAGCCTGGTTTCCATCAACCTCTCAGGAGTCCTGCAGGATGTCCCTTTAAAACATCCTTTTGTGTTCTGGGTTGTAAGCTCTTCCCCCGCAGTTTGCATTAATCAGCTGAGCAGCGTGGACGGGGGTTTGGAGGTGGGTAGGTGGACACTTGAGGATGGAGTGTAGTTTCCCACAGTGAGTTTTATTTGACTTCCTAGTAGCCCTGAGACCCATCCATTTTATATCTGCAGTCTTAGGTTCTGCTCCATGAGTAGATTTTTTAAAAATTTATTATTGATATTTTCTCCTAGGCACCTTCAAAAGTGCAGTTTAGTTCACCTATTGCTCGATCATGTTACCATGGTAACTTACTCTGCTGTATCAGAGTATCTGAAGACAGATACCACCGAGAGTTGAAAAAAAAAAAAGAAACTGGAGTAAAACTGAGTACTCCAAACTCCAAAATCACCAAAAGGCATTTGAAAGAAGAATATTTTCATCCCAGGCCAGTGAGATGGCTCAGCTGGTAAAGTTTGGCCTCTGGAACCCACATAAAAGTAGAAAAAGAGAATAGAGCCTTTTGATTTCACGCGTGTGCCTTGGCACACAACATGCATACACGTAACTATAATAAATCAATAAAAAATTAAAAAACAAGCCAGGCCATCATGGCACACACCTTTAATCCCAGAACTTGGGAGGCAGAGTCAGGCGGATCTCAGGCTCCAAAGCTACAGAGAAACCCTGTCTTGAAACCGCCCCCGCCAAAAAAAATTAAAAATAGTATTCTCATTTCAAAGAATTAAGAAAAATTTGAGGGGATGGAAATGCTAATTATTTTTATTCAATCATTATATAATGTAGACAAGTATAAATAGCAAACACAGGGACTGGGCAGATATCACAGTGGATAGGAGCTTTTGCTGCGTACACATGAGGACCTGAGTTCAAATACATGGTAGCACTCACACACAAAGTCAAACATGGCAGGTATGCCTATAACCCCCCAGTGGAAGATTACTGGGGCTTATTGGCTACTAGCCCAACTTCAATTCTAGTGAGATACCCTGCTCAAGGCAGTAAGACAGAGATAGCCAACTAACAGCAACTAGGACTGACAACCTACATTCAGTCCCTGGGACCCACATGGTAGGACAGAAGTGACTCCCTCTAGTTGTCCCCTGCCCTCCACATGCATGTGATGGTACATGCACACATGAACATATACAAGAATATCCATGTAGTAACCTCAGTGGAAGGTGTGCAGACAAGCAGATTCCAGAGCTCTCTGGCCAGCCAGTCCATCAGATCGCTCATCTCAAGGTTCAGTGAAAGACCCTGTCTCAAAAAGTAGTATGTGGTGTGACAGAAGACACCTGCTACCAACCTGTCCTCTCTAGTCTCTACACACTCACACACACAGACTCATGTACCCTCACACATAAACGCGCACACGCATGCACCCACACACGCACACCACACACTCCATCCTACCCAACAGTCAGAAGAGCTAGGCTTCCAGTGGTGCTGAACAGCGCCTGTTTCCTTCCCTGTTCCAGTTCTAGCGCACACATGGCGTGGCCTCTGTTTCCATCCACCTATTCAGTCAGATGTACCATTCTTCAGATTTGTCTGGTATCATATCTTGAGTTCTGATCTTGATTTAAAAATTATTTATTTATATATATTTTTGCATGTGTGGGGAGTGCACGTGCGTATAGGTCAGAGAACAACTTGTGGGAGCTGGTTCTCTCCTTCCACAATGGTTGGATCAGTGATCAAATTCTGGTGGTCAGGCTTGGCAGCAAGTGTCTTTTTTTCCCCACAGGAGGGCGCCAGAGCTCAGGACGGATGCGTTTAGTGGGAATTGTACTCTGGTCCTCTGGGAGGAAGGGCGATAGGGCCACTAGTGCTCTTAACCGCTGAGCCATCTCTCCAGGCGGTTGGCAGCAAGTGTCTTTATTCAGACATCTGGTTGACCCCTTACTCTGACCTTTAGCCTCATAGATATTGAAATTGCAGTGTGTTCATGTGAACAGTCAAAGATTATCATCCAATATCAAAACCATTATTTGGTTTTGGAACTCACTATATAGATGAGGCTGGTCTTGAACTCCTGACCCTCCTCCTCCCAGATTCTCAATTACATGCTATGAAAATGAGGTCAAGGGCATTGGTGTTGTGGCATCTGCTGTCAGCAGCTCTATGCAGCATCAGGCTTGAGGCTAATCTTTGCTCCCCCACACAGCCCTACATCTGCACTCTGGTGCTCTGGCTTCTCCTGCCTGTGTCTTTGGATACAGTCATCATTCTTCTCTGGGAAGAACAGAGGACAAAAGGCCACCTCAGCCAGCCTTAGTCAGGAGTGGAAGAGTTTCAGCTCCGGTGAGTCTCAGGTTTGCTTGAATGCTTGCAGAAGGCAAGGCACAGGAAGGGTTTCGCTCAGGAAAACCAGGTGTGGCACATGCCTGCAACCCCAGTGCTCCTGAGTGACGCGGTAAGATCAGAGAAGCTCAAGGCTATACTTAGCTCAGAGCCTGGTCACCACGGGGTGAGATCCATCTCCCCAGAGCTCTGAGCATGAGAGGGCCTGAAAATGTCACTCAGGTGTTCTGCTTTGTGCCTCCCCACAAAAACAAATAAAAAATCCACTGCCCCAGGCCCAAGTAACCTCTGCCAACTCAGGTCCTGTCAGGGTAGCTGTCCTCTTTGGTTTGGGCATATCTGAGGCCCTCTGCTGCAACACAGGGGAATAGTACTGAAAGACTCCTTTAAGAATTACGTGTGCGGGGCAGGAGAGATGGCTCAGCGGTTAAGAGCACTGACTTCTTCCAGAGGTCCTGAGTTCAATTCCCAGCAACCACATGGTGGCTTACAACCATCTATAATGAAATCTGGTGCCCTCTTCTGGGGTGCAGGCAGAATACTGTATATGTAATAAATGATTTTTTTAAATGAAATCATGTGTAGCACACTAGTGTGCAACGTGCCACAACACACTCGAATTCAGAGAATAATTTGTAGGAGTTAGGTCTCTCCTTCCACCCTGTGGGTCCTGGGTATCAAATGCCAGTCATCAGGATTGGCTGCAAGTGTCCTTATCCGCTGAGTCATCCTGATCTTACTAGCCCCCAAGGCTCCTGTAGCAGCTTCTTGGCAAAAAGCATCCTAAAGCCTACTTGATGGAGAGGTGTGAGGAGCAGGACCTTTTCTGTTTGACTGTTGATTTTGGCAGCTTTGGTTTCTGTGAGCTCATGGCTTGACCATGCATGTAATCCCTGGGCTATCATCCTTCCTCCCATTTTACAGATGAAAAACGGTCCAGAGAGGGGGAGTCACTTCCTCATGTCTCACTGTAAGCTGTTCCAAGATGCAGCAAGCTGCTGTCCTAGAAGCTCTCATGTTCTCTGCTCTGTCCTTCTCCAGATGATTGATAAATCTCCACGGAGGCAGAGCGATGACAAAATTCCCATTAATACCTTTGAAGCTTAAGATCCAGGCAGGCTCTTCCAGGCCGAGCTTACCTCACGTGCTTTCTTTGATGTGTACATGGCCTTGATGTTCCAAAGGCCAGCTGCTTGAACACTAACTCCTTTCCCTGAGCTCAGGCATTGTGGCCCCAGAGAGCAGGGATGCAGAGCAGCCGGACAACTCACAAATAGCAGAGGCAGAAAGCAAATCCTAAGAGCTGCATCTTTGGGTTCTTAGGATGAATACAAAGCCAGATTAAAAAGAGACCTGGGGTTGGGGATGTGGCTCAGTGCTTGCCTAGTGCGCATTAATTCACCAATACTACAGTAATCACAGCCTTCCAGGAGGCAGGGAGATTAGAAGTTCAAGGTCATCCACTAGCACAGTTTGGTGTCAGCCTGGACTACCTGAGAACCTGCCTAAAAATAAATAAAAATAAGAGAACTGGAAAAAAAATATTCTTAGTTTTGAGATTCTCAGGTGGCCCAGGCTGGCCTCAAACCTGCTATGTAGCAGATGTCCCTGAAGTCTTGGTCCTGGAATTACAGATGTGGCCCACCTTGTTTGTCAAACTACTGAATGGCTGTAGAGAACCAGCTTGCTAAATACTTAGGAACCCGAGTGGGTAGGTATGTCTGCTGCCAATGTGATGTCAAGTACAGCTACTGCCTGGCTGTCCAGTGGGAACCAGCTGTTCCCAAAGCCGCAGCCTTAGCACGGGAAGTGGTTATCCTTGTTTCTGCTCTTCAATCTGTCTGATTCAGCGTGGGCAGGTGTATCTGGCTGGTCCAGACCAGGTCTCAGGAAAGTAAATGGCTTTCCTGATGAGTTGTCTAGTTACTTTCCTCACTGGTTCCTGCCAGGTATTTGGTAGGAACAACTAAGGAAAGGAAGGGCTTACTGTAGCTCACAGTCAGAGGGCACAGTCCACTGCGGTGGGGAAGGCACGCAGGAGTGGCATGAGGCGGCTGGTCAAGGCGTCCGTGTCAGGGCCGGAGGTGCCAACACTGATGCACTGCAGGGCGGCAGTCTACAGAATGGTGCTGTCAAGTGGGCCTTCCCTCCTTAGTTACGCCTTTCTGGAAACATCCTAAGGTGTTTTCACAGTGAACCTAAATCCTACCAAGTTGACTGTCACAGTCACTTGGTGACCTCAGCACTCCTCCAGGACTTGAACAGTATGGTTTGCAAACAGGAAGTCTAGATGCTGCATACAAACTCAAAACCAAAAACCTTCCTTCCCATCACAGGCATGGATGCTGAATCAAGGGGATGGCTTCCTTCCAAAAGGCACAGGGCCAAGGAAAATGTTTTATCTCCTGTGTGGGTACCAACCACAGACTGAATCGGCACAAATGAGCAATCCCAGGCTGCCTATAGCTGCTTCTTCCCACACAAGGCTGTCAAACAAAGGTACAGCTGCTTCCCTCTGGCAAGCTAGCATCTGCCTCTTGAGGACAATTATTTGTGGACGACTACACATATTAACACCATTTCCTGTGCTGGTCTTTCAACTGGCCAAGACCACAGCAGAGTGCCAGGTACTCATGGCCATGATGAGTACACAGGAGGCAGAGGTGTAGACGCAGATGTGAGGCAGGAGGCAGAGGTGAGATGCAGATGTGAGGCCAGCCCAGTCTATATAGCAAGCAGCAGGCAGAGCTATACAATGAAGACTGTCAAAAAACAATGGTCAGGGCAGACAAGATTCATCTAGATACTTACATATGGGGATTCAAGACTTTACAAACCCAACTAGACGAGAAGCACTCAAGCAGGCTCCCTGCCCCACCAGTGGTCAGCTAAACACCCCCCCCCCCCCGGGGGCGAGGAAGACAATCTCAGTGTCTTGTATGCAGGGAATGAAGACAACTGTACTCACACAGGCATGTATACACACAATTGAACAAAAATTTAAGAAAGGCTCCTGAAGACATAATTATTAAGTGCCAGGAGTTAGAAACTTAAGAAGCTAAGTAGCCAGAATTTAGTGGCATCTGGCAACTTCAAAGGACAATAAAATAAAGCTTGGTAGTTAAAGGCCACCCAGAACACTCTAGAGGGCAAGGACTCAGATCTGACTGAACCACTGTTCAACAGACTTTTGTTTATGGGGCTCTCGGGAAGTCAGCTCTGACCTAACGCCAAGCACTGTCCAGGATGATGTTTCAGAGTGCTGGTGGCTTGGGTTCGTCCTCTGCACTGAGCTGGAGGAAGTTCACCCCAAGGTGTGCGGTCGAGAAGCTAAATGAGCATTACCATTCTGTTTTCTCACTTTCATGAGAAACAGACATAACAGAGGCCTGAGGCTGATAATCACTCCACATAGAGACAGGCTCTTCTTTCACACCCAGATTCATTGATAATGCCAGGGATCCCTACTAGTGCGGCAAGCACTTTACCTCTGTTGCTTTAAACACTTGGGGTTACAATTGGGCCCCAAATACCTATGTGTAGTCCCAATCAGCTGGAACAGACTTTCAAAACGGGATACACAGCAGTCATCTCTGGTGGACCTCAGTCATCCAAGGATTCACCTGTCTTTACCTCTCATCTTGCTTTAGGAATGCTGGAACTGTTCAGGCCCTACTACGACTGTATTTTAAGTCGTTTCTGAGGATTTGAACTCAGATTATTCATCTCCACAGCCAAATTATGTGTGTGTGTGGGGGGGGTAGCAACCAAAACAAGAGCCAACTAATAAAATCCCACTGTTAAAAAGTCAGGAATAGCTGGTGGTTATTAAAGACACGACTTTAATTCCAGTACTCCGGGGAGGCAGAGATAGGCAGATTTCTAAGAGTTAAAGGCCAGCCTGGCCTAAAGAATGAGTTCCAAGACAGGCTCCACAGTTACAGAGAAGCCCAGTCTTGAAAAATAAAAAGTCAGGAATATACAACAGAAGCGGTACTACTTTATGTCCACGTTCCTATGTGCACATGTAGAGGCCAGAAGTTACCTATAGCTTCCTCAGTTGCGTTCCACCTTCGCTGCCGAGATAGGGTCTCTCTCTGAACACGGAATGATATTTGGCTAGACCAGCTGGCTAGGAAGCTCCAGGACCTGCCTGTCTCTGGCTCCAAGGCATTCGAGTTACATGTGCTGCCATGCTCAGCATTGTTCACGGATGCTGAACTCAGGATCTGTGCAGCAGCACTTGATTACCCACTGAGTCATCTCAGCTGCAGTGGCACCTCTAAAGATGTTCACTATTTACTCCCAACAGTCTTTTCCCTTACATACTTGTGGCATTTTCAGGGGCTCCAGGTTATTGCTAACGTTCAAGAAATAAAAATCCAGCCTATTTTGTCCATCACTGCGTCCCTCCTTATACCAAAAAGGAAAGGTATAAAAGACGTTAAAACAATGACATGACTTTTTATGGGAGTATTTAAAAATAAAAATTATCATTCATAGCAAAGACAAAAAGATCCTAAAGGTGATTTTAAAAAGTTCCTTCTTAAAGAAAAAGGGGGAAATTAGGGCAAAGTCCAGGTAGAAAACCATTCCTGTCAGTGAGAAAACTGCCTGCGGTCCGCTGTCTTCTTGCTGATGTGTTTAAAGATCTTGGACTTCTCCACTTTCTTTGTTTTCTGGTAGCCAAATCCACCGCCACCTCCTCTCTTTTTAAGCTTGCCATCATGGCTGCTCACATCTACAGATGAATGTTAAGGAGGTGAAGCAATAAAGAGGACTCCAAGCTGTATCAGAGAAAACCTCAACACGGCCAGCACTACCCCTGTGCCACTCTCTGCTTGACAAATGGAGATGTGGGACCTGAGGCTGGACAATGAACATGCAGGAGACCAGGAGTAACAGAGAGCTTGTACACAAAAATGAACAGGAATGACTTTGACCAATCTGTCCCGGATTTCCCTCACAAGTTACTGCAGCATAATTAAAAGCAGTCTTCCTCGTATCGAATAACCAATATATAAACACACACACACACACACACACACACACACACACGATTGCAATGGAACCACCGGGAAGGTTCCTTTGCTCTTTACCTGGAGCAAGGCTTAGGTCTGTTTTCTGTGGCTAGCCTTGCCATTTCCTTATAGATAAATAACCTTCTGATGGCCCTATGAGGCCAGGAACCTTGAAAGCTCTTACCCACTCTCTCTAGTTGCTTCCCACCTCTGCTTCTACACCGAAGACACAACTAACTACCTGCCTCTCACTGACAGTGGTACCCCCACTGCCCTGTTCAATGTCATTCTGTGTGTACAAATGTAGTGCGCTACAACCTTTGGAGATGTTTGGTTCTCCCCTTCCACCATGGGTCCTGGGGGTCAAACTTGGGTTGCTAGGCTTGCTGGGAAGATGCTTATATCCACTGAGCCATCCTTAGTTCTTTAGAGATTTAAATCCTGAGCTTGGTAATTCCCAGCCCAGTGACAAGTCCTTGCCGATCCCTTCTGTGCTACTAACAGACAGACACAGGCTAGGATGAACATCATCAGAGCCTTTGGCCGGCAGCTGTTCCAACTCACTGCTAAGACCTAACACCCCCGCTAAGGCCTGTAATTGCAATAAATTGTAATAAATAATGAAGAAAGGATACTCAGATCAACGAAGGGAGGAACCTTAAAGCCAAAGGACAGAGCCACCTGAGGCAAGTTTAAGTTGTTCACATCGAAGATCTGCTTGAGAGAGTGGGAGTCGTAGGCTCGTATGTAGGACTTGTATGCTTCCTGCGCGGACTTATGGAGAAAATAGTTCTTTTCGATCAGCTTTTCCAGCTAAAACAAAGAAAAAGGGCAGATTTCAACTATTAGAACAATTATCCTACAAAACCACTTGTCTTTGTACACTTGGTCTGGCTTTGAACTCTGGGGAAACCAGGTAGAAAAGGAACCTTAAGACCAGCATCATCGCAAGTGGGAGGAAGCCTGGGGGCGTGACTGTGAACCCCACAAGGCAGCACCGACAGGCGACCCCTCCCCTCAGAAGACACAAAGAACATACCTGAGACTGAATATCAGAAACTTTTGACCAGGAAAAGTCGAACTGATTCAGTGGAACCTAGAGAAACAAAGTTCAGATGTTAGTACGCGGTAACTCAGATTTAGCTGCATGAAAGGTTATAAGTGTCCCATCAGCAGGCACAGCAAGGGGCAGCGCTGGAGATGTCCAGGTTCGTGGAACCCCAGGACAGGGACTGTGATCTGCTGCTTGCTGCCTCTTGTCATTAGGTGTTCCATCTCTGGCCTGCTGAGTTGACATGACTACACCGTGGGAGCCTGCATTTCTTCCTCTTCAAAAGCTGAGAGGAGGAAACAAGCAGAGGCAGGGGCCACTAAAGCTCTACCCCTAAGATTTCCAGGACTGTGACATTCAGGGTGATAAATGACTACTTTCCCCTTTTTCCTAATAGGGTTTTAGGTTTTACTATGTAGTCCTGGCTGGTCTTGAACTTGCTGAGACTCTCCTGCCTCTGCTTCTTGACTGCTGGGATTACAGGTGTGTAATCCATACCAGGGATAACTACTTTCCCCCCCCCTCTATACCAGGAGAGGGTCCTTAATACTGCTCTGCCTTGTGCCTGATGCTTGTGATACCAAGCCTGGTGATTCTAGCTCCCCAAGGATTCATCAATTATTATCTCCTACTTAACTAAGAAAGCACAGAAACTGTGTGTGCTATGGACTGGGGAAGAAAACAGGTCTGTAAGAACCTCCTGCCTTCCCCTCAGAGAGCTTGCCTGCAGGTAAGAAATGGAGCATTTGTGTGCTGGAAGCAGATGGTTGGAGACAGACAACTCACTGAAATCAGTGTCCTGTGGAGACCCAGAAAGAACAGCGAGGAGAGTGCAAAGGCCTCAGGGCAATTTCAGAAACTGTGCCTTATTACAGGAAGGGGAAATGCACATGGTAAGACTGTGCTAGGAGGGTGTCATGGTGCCAGTCAGGGACAAGCTGGCCCGCCATGTACCCACTAGGCCTATCAAGAAGGAGGCCAATGCAGTCTGGATGCATTCTGTTCTGGCAGGCTGAGATAAGGGCAGACAGGTGAGCTGGGGATTGAGCAGATGGTGACTGGAATATATGCAAAGCACTTTTCCAAAAAGGCAGAGAGGAGCAGAGCCAGGGCAGTGTCAGCCCCGATGGGAGCAGTAGGAGGCTGAGTTGAGGGCTGAAGCAGGAGCTGCGCATGGAGACTTGAGATGGCAAAGCACTGGCAGCCTGGGGAAAGAGTCAAGGGAGGGAGGCTGGTGCACAAGGGCACAGATCTGCTGCTCTTCTGAGATCTGCACAGCAGACTGCAGGGATGCTAGGGGAGCGGGCAGGGTTGACCAGGGCTGCAGAGAACTGGAAAGGAGAGCTCCCACAGTGCTGGGGATTGAGCCCGTTCCTCCTGTCAATGCCTCCTGTGCCAGGAGCAGATGCCATCTCACCTAGTGACTCTCTGTACCTGTTATGACAGCACCTCCTCAACTTTAGTCAACATCTGCAGAGATGGCACCTGAGGAGAGTCCTCACAGTGGGATTCCTTCCAACTCAGGGTTTTCCAAACAAACGCATTTACCTTGGATTGCTTCAAGTAACGAAGGAAACCCAACTCTTCAGGGCGCAGGATGAGCAGGGCATGCCCTCTTCCGTTCAGGCCCCGAGCCGTTCTACCCACACGATGAATGTATTCCTGTAGTGAGGCAGAAAAGCTGGGTTATGAGTCCACATTCAGCATTTAGACTCCGTCCTGTGATCAACGGAAGCATGCCAGCACACCTGCACAAGGTGTACCAATCACAGGGCAGAGCCAACTTCACCCTCACCACACACTGGGCCAGCATTCCCTCTGCAGATACCACCCCTTAGCAGGGACAGACACGAACACAAGATAAGCGGCACACACCAGCCATATTAACACCGTGTAAAGGAAGCCCCACAAGCCAGATTAACTATAAGGTGTAGTTCATCTTCAGAGTAGCTTTCTATGAAAATTATGCTTCAATGCTAGTCAACAATTTATTACAACTCATTGCTTCTTCAAAGTACTCCTTTCACGTGTGATGTATGCACATATGTGTAGAAGTCAGAGTGTAGACCAAGATACTGTTGCTCTCCACCTTGTTTTGAGGCAGTATCTCTCAACCTGGAGCTTGCTGTTTCAGTTAAGTTGCTGCACAAGCCCTGGGAACCCATTTGTCTCCTGCTGGGGTTACAGATGTACTCTACCCCGCCTGGTCTTTACACGGGTACCCATTCTACTATAGACATTACTGACCTTTACTTATCTACTTCCTTACAAAATTGCCATTTCCTTCTGAAACCGGCTGGACACACCAGTCCAAGGATTTTGTGTTCCTAACTTAAAAGTGACAGACACTCCTTAAACCTCTTTGCACATATACCCCTAAGGTCCCTGACACTTATTAACACCAGTAATACTCTACAGCGGACCAAGCAGCTGCTCTGTACAGGTAAGTGTCATGGATGTGAAATGACATATCTCCCTGAGCAGCAAGTGTACTCTTACACATAAACCCATTCTGAAGACACACGTTACCTTGGGGTCATCGGGAGGGTCATACTGAACAATCCAGTCAACTTCAGGGATGTCCAGCCCTCTGGCTGCCACATCTGTGCACAGCAGTATCCCTGAATCTGCGTTGCAGAATTGGAAGAACGTGGTTGTTCGCTTATTTTGCTTTTGCCTTCCCTAAATTCAAAAGCAACAAGAGCACAAAACCCATTCAAGTTGTTTGTGAGAGTTCAATGTAAAACCAGCCAACTGTGGAGCTGCTACCACACTTTAGCACAAGCTTACTCGGGCCCAAGCCCTATGACTCCAACTATAACCCAAGCCTGTGAAAGGGATGGTGTCTCTTGGGTGACTGTCCAGGCAGGGAGATGTCTCTATCATTTCTAGTTTTGGAAGTTGCTTACTTACTTCTTATTTACTTAGGTAATATTATATCCTTCCGGAGTCTTTGATGAAGTTGAAGAATGGATAGTTAGTTTTCCTTTGTTATGATAAAAGATAAAATAGATATAAATATTGTAACTATAATTCTTGCTTGATAACTGTTTTGTTATATGTAATTTTACTATGAAAGCCTTTCTTTTTTGTTTAAACAGAAAAAAAAGGAAATGGTGTAGGAGGGTCTTCTATGTGTTGCTTTCATTAGTTGAATAAAGAAAACTGCCTTGGCCTTTTGATAGGGCAGCCCTTAAGTGGGTGGAGTAGACAGAACAGAATTCTGGGAGGAAAAAGGCAGTGTGGCAGACACCATGGCTCTCCTCTCCGAGATGGACGTTGGTTAGACTCATGCCGGTAAGCCACAGTCAAATGGCGATACACTTTAATGGAGATGGGTTAAACTGATATGTAAGAGTTAGCCAATAAGAGGTTAGAACTAATGGGCCAGGCAGTGTTTAAATTAATACAATTTCCGTGTGGTTACTTTTGGGGGTTAAACTAGCCAGAAGTCAGGCGGGATGCAGCCCGCTCTCCTTACAACACTTACTCCTTTTTAAGTACTTTCTTTTTCAGATTTTATTAGCCTGTACTTACCTGTGTTTGGTTATAACCGTCGGTGCCAACTACCGAACTCCAATCACACTGACCCATCACCCTCCTCTATCCCCTCCCACTCCTTCAGATCCTTTCCTCTTCTAACTAATGCCCTTCTGTTTTCACGTCTGTGTGATCCAGGGAGCTTACAAGAGCACAGGTGAGGGTTACTTGCAGGCAAGTGAGCACCCAACCAGTGCTACTCCACTAAAGAAATGTCACTCAAACCACCATTAGCTTCCTAAAGAGCCTCAGAGAGGGGCGGAGCCTTGTGAGGCCCTCTCACCAGCCATTCTTCTTCAAGTAATAGCAGCTGCTTTCAGACCATTGTCCCCTCCCTACCTGATCATCCACTGGAAGATGAACCACTCCTCCACCCCAAAGTGCACAGAATGTCATACAAAGGCTTACCCCATTTCTCAACAAGCTCCCTGCCACCACTTACATGGATGGCCAAGACAGGCAGGTCGATGTAGTTCAGTAGCTCGTAGTGGTACTTCACAGACATACACGAGGAAAAGAAGACCATCACTTTCTTCTTCCGGTTCTTCTTAAGGAATGTGAAGAGCAGAAGGAACCTCTTCTCCGAGGGACACACAACATATCCCTGAATAGGGGCAGTGAACAGATTACTCACAAGGCATTTTAGCTTCATTAAGTAGCAAAATGTGTCTAAAGACAGCAATATACTGCCAGGCCTTTCTGCCACATTTAAAGACTACACCAACTCCAGTTATATGGAACTATTTACTTATCAAGACTTCACCTTGGAGTTATGAAGACAGCTCAGCAGGTAAAGGGCTGAGGACCAACACCCATCCATGTAATTGTGTAGTCCCAATGCTCAGGAGATGGGATTAGTGTGTCAAGCTGGCTACCTAGATTAGTTAAATCTGCAAGCCTAGGGGTCTAATTAGATTCCCCTCAATATTCAAATGGTGAGTGATCATGAAGACACCTGACTTCATAGGCATTCACTCTCAAACATACACTTCCTCAAGATTAAACTTGTCTCCATTAACTCAGACCAGGCACCTCTTTTCTACCTTGCACAGCGATGCACTTGCTCCTCCAAGTTAGCTTCCTCTCTATCACCCAACTTCCCTGGCACCTTATAGGGAGCATTTTTTTTTCATTTTTTTTATTGTTTTTAATGAGCTATACATATTTTCCCAATATGCAGATTACTAAAAAGTTCTAGCTGCATTGCAATCAGCAGCAACTGATGCTTCTTCCCACAAAAAAAGCAGCATCAACAGAACAGATGCTGGCTTCCCCTGACTTCACAGTACTTTATAAGCAACTAAGAGACATCACACCCATGTCTGTTGCTCTGACTTATATGTTGGTCAATCCACTTGCTCTGTTCATCACTCTGAACAAGCATCAGGGCACACGGAGACCCTACAGGGCTTTACTTATTTACTCTGTAATATGTATAAGCTATTTATTAACAGTACCTGCTCAAGTCCATCCACTGTGGCAACCTCTTTATCATCATCGACACCCACATACAATGGCTCTTTTTTCAGAGAAATTCTTGCCAAGTCTTCAACTTTTCGAGTTTGTGTGGCAGAAAAGAGCATGGTTTGCCTGCGTACTGAAACAACACAAAAATAATCCAAACCTTCCAAAGAATCTCATAATCACTTCATGATCACACTTTAAGCAGAAATTCCTGAAAGGGGATATGTTATTGGTATGGACTCCCCAGATATCGTCTATATCTTAGGTGAGATGAACAAATCCAATCCATCCTAAGCAAATTAAACCAAGGGATGGGTAGTTAGGGCTTTCCAGTCACCATCAATACTGTCGTGAAGTTATTCATGAGAAAGGGAGCTATATAATGCAACTTGTAGTCAATGCTTATGGAAATGCCAACAGCTGCGAACAGCACACACACCTGCCAGCAGCTGAAATGAGCAGACATACTGCAGTCACACAGCAGCATCACCAAGCATCTACAAGATGCTGGACTGGACGGGAAAAGAGGAGCACACACTGCCGCTCACTATACCTTCAAGATTTGGAAAACGTGGGCTCCTTCCTGTACAGGGACCAAGAAAGCTACTCAACAGCAGAAAGAGAACTTATTTGTACGGGTGGGGCTAGGGGACTGCAGTGGCCATGAACTCTTCAGGTGGAGGACATGCCTATCATTGTGCTTGCAGTTATGACTCTCAAGGGCTACACATGTTAGAATATCAAAAATTACAGACTTTAATTTAAATGGTTTACTTATAATTTTTAAATTATGTGTCTGTGCCATATGGAGATAAGAGCGGATGACAGCAGAGGAGGGACTCAGCCAAAAAACTCAACTCTTACAAGGAATCTTTACATTAAAACTATTGAACTAGCATTTTTGCTTATGAAATGGTAATGTGTTGTAAGAAGATGCATTTCAAATTACTACTGAAGATGACAGGCACAAACTGCTCACGTAGCCACAGGAAAATTCTGGTTATTAAAACAATATTTTCCCTATAAGATCTCTAACCACAGACCTCTGACTACCCTGTGAGTCCTATGCAGATGCCACCTACTCACCTGGCAAAAGTTTAATAATTTGCTTTAATTCTTCTTCAAATCCAACATCCAAGATACGATCAGCCTCATCAATAACAAGACACTGAAGGTTCTTGTACATGAACCCTGGAGTATTCTGCATGTGGTCTAGAAGCCGGCCGGGGGTGGCCACGACAATGTTGATACCATTGGTGAGCTTCTGTGCTTCAGCAGACCTGTTTCTGCCACCCATTATCAGCCCGTACGTGTGAACATGGTGCGTCATCAGTTCCTTAAGAACACCAAAGGTCTGCATGGCCAGTTCTCTGGTAGGAGAGAGAATCAGGACTCCTGTTCCTGGAAGGCAAAAAAGGTGACAAAAGCCCATTGCCACAGGTTCTTACAAGGTTCACCTCCGACTAATTACAGTACAAAGAAACAGACACTTACCATTCCTGGGCATAAACTTTAACTTCACAATGAGCTCGATCACAGGGATGAGGAAAGCCAGAGTTTTGCCACTGCCGGTTTTAGCAGCTGCTAGAAGATCCCTTAATATTGCAGAAGAGAAGGATGTTCATTCAACTCATGCAGATGCATACTGAACACCCACCACAAGCTATGAGCAGGTTCTAGGCACTGTGTGAGGATTCCAAAACACAGTTCCCTGCCTAGCCATCTAGGCCTTTAACATAAGCCAGGCACGAATACATAGAACAATCAGTGGAACACACATATGTTTCCTTTACCACCGCACAGTCTTAAGAACAGACAGGAATGCCCCAGTATCAATGTCAACCATACCTGCCTTCCAGAAGTGGCCTGATACTTTTATGTTGGATCTCAGTCATGCGCTTGAAGCCCATTTCCTCTATAGCCTTCAGAGTGTTTTCATTGACGAGGTTAGACAAGGAAGCAAACGAAGTGTCCTCAAAAGCCCCTACATGGAAGATTGTTCACTGTCAGCAAGCCGGTCTGTTCAAAGTGAGTGCTGGCACAGCTGCCTAAAACCATGCCGCTTCTTAGAAGAGCGTCTCACAGTACGAGGAGATTAAAGTTCAATCACTGCTAACAGGTACTAATGAGAAAATAGTCCACAGAGAAATCAAAATGTAAACATTGGGGCTGGAGAGATGCTCAGTGCTTAAGAGCACTTGCTGCTATTGCACAAGACCTGGGCGAGGTTCAGCGCCCACATGGTGGCTCTTAACCATCCAGAATTCCAGTCCCAGGGGTAAAATGACTTCTAACCTCCACAGGCACCAGGCATACACAGTGCACATACATAAATGCTGGGAAAGTACACAGACATTTAAAAAGTATAAAAATTAAGCATAATAAAAACTGAAGCCTAAAGCCAACCAAAAAAGTAAACAACCTGATTCCAACAAGAGTCCTGAGAAAGCACAGCACCCCGAGGCTCTTTAGTAGTTAGGGTACCAGAGCACTCCCATGGCCTGGACACTCAGCCATGCCCTGATTAGCTGTGGCTTCTCGGCTTGGCAGTAATGATGGTCCTTACTTGTGACCGATGGTCAACTCCCAGGCTTTCTTCCTTCTAGTTCTGAGAAAACACACCCATAACCAAATCTTTTTTCTTTTTTTGGTTTTTCAAGACAGGGTTTCTCTGTTGCTTTGAAGCCTGTCCTGGAACTAGCTCTTGTAGACGCCAGGCTGGCCTCGAACTCAGAGATCTGCCTCCCGAGTGCTGGGATTAAAAGCATGTGACACCAGTGCCCAGTCCCAAATTTTTATTTGCATTTTCAGTGTGGCATCTGATAAAGCAATAGGTTTATACTAGTTTTATAAAATAGGCTTTGTTTTATGATTTTGCCCAACTAGAGGCCAAATAAGAGTTCTGAGCATAAGACTCCTAGCACTGGGGAATACGGAGCCTGAACTAGCCATCTCCTGTAATCAGGCAAGGTTTCCAGTGTAGGGAATGTGACAATCCCAGTCCACAAACAAACCCTTCGGCCTACAATTTGTTCTGCCTATAATATGAGTTGAGGTAAGAAGGTGGCCAGAGAACTCTCTTTAGGTGCATGGGAAATTCTGGACCTTGTGTATGCTGGGCAAGTGGCTGTCCTATGTATCTTGATGCTCTAGATGTCACTCTAGATGTCAGTAGACTGTCCTAATCAGATGCTTGGAGTGTAGAACTTTTGTTGCTAACCTGGACATTAAGAGTTAGTTGCAGCCAGGTGGTGGTGGCACACGCCTTTAATCCCAGCACTTGGGAGGCAGAGGCAGGCGGATTTCTGGGAGTTCAAGGCTGGCCTGGTTTACTAGAGCTAGTTCCAGGACAGGCTCCAAAGCTACAGAGAAACCCTGTCTCGAAAAACCAAAAGAGTTAGTTGCTTGACTTGGGGTGAAAAATTGTCCAGGCTGAGAACCACCTCTATAACTTGTCTATTTTTCCCTTTTCTCTGTAGGCTGTGCTCAGTACTATACCATCAGATCAATTCAGCCATCTTGATTAAGTATTAAAATGGTCCAACCTCAGTATTTTAACAAGGAATAAAGCAATCGAACAAAATCCCCCAAGTCAAATCTGATTGGAACAATACATTCTAATCTAAATTCTTGAACTTTAAGGATCCCAGAAGCTATTAGGAATGTAGAGAAAGAAAAAGATGAAAAAATTGTCTTGGTATCAAAAGGAGAAGATAAAGGAAAACAGCACAAAGCTATAAAAATCATTGCTTGCTGACAATTATTATTTTTCCCTGGTAATTAAAAGTCACGATAGAACTTTCAATCATGCAACAGAGAAAAGTGACTGTTCCAAGCCATCACCTGTCAGCCCCAGGGGCAGGCTGGGGACTTCCTTGTCATCTGGCTTCTCCACAGCATCTTCTGCTTCAAGAGCCACAGTGCTTTCTTCAGTTTTTGCTTTTTTGGTGTCTTGGTTTAAAAAGCAAACAAACAAAAAAGTAAATAAAACCTACTTTGTTATTAAAATAACAAGTGAGAACAAAAGAATACTTTTCAAAGTTTAACATTCAACATTTATTTGTCAGAAACCTTTTTCAGGAAGAACCTTGTTCAATATTTAAAACTTTGAGGCATAAATCATTTACAAACAAAACAATGTTTTAACGTTACTTAAAATGCATTACATTATCCTTAAAGAGTAACATCAGGACAGCCTCACACGTCAGGAGGAAAGCAGCACATGTGCAATTCCAGCAATCTTAACTTAAATTCCCAGACAGCAGCATTTTCTCCCCTTGCTTTTACATTCTGCAAGTCACTTCTGCTTTGAAGATGAACATTAAGAGTGTGGGGCTCTCCCTGTTCCCACACAGGGAGAGGGCAATGGCTCCTTAGCTGGTGATAGAAACGGGACTGCTGTGGAGTTGTAAGTGAAGGAGGAGCGGCAGAGCCTTCTAGCTTCTTTCTTCCTTATTCAACTTCTGCAGGATGGCTCCCACCTACTGTCCAGAACATTCCACTCACGCCTCTTCAGCACTGCACACTGGGCTCCAGTGAGCAGGGAGGGGTTGCTGACCTGGCTCACCCCACCTCAATTTGTTCACTCCACAGAAGGCTCATCTCTTCACCAGAATTTACTATCCCCTTCCTGCCTCCCGCTCTTTAAACCCTGCCCCGTACTTTCTGCTCACTTGGAAACCAGTGTCTTATTTATTCACAACTTTCCTTCATGTTATTTTACATATTCTGCAAAGAAGCCTCCATATTGGGGAGAGGGCAAAAGACATGAAGTACCTTATAAAATTAGCAAATACCTTCAGACAAAAAAGCTCACGGAGATACTGCCCATCACCAAACAAGATCCACACACTGTCAATTAAAGTTCTGAAACTCTGAAATATGTAAAATGCAAACACTATGCCATGGTATATTCAGTTTCTTTAAAAAGCCCCACTAACTGCTCACCAAACTCCTTAGTAGAATATCAAAAACTAAAGAAATTATTACCAAATGTCAGTTTTTCCCAAGGTTAGTGAACTTAAAAACATGACACAAGTTTGGGAAAAAAAAACTAAAACCCACCTCACTCCTCCACCAACAACATGTCTTTTAGCGGCCAGGCTAGTCTCTCATACATAGGTGCACACAGGGGATAATGCACACACAGCGATGGAGGGACGCGAGCCACAGCTCAAAAGTTACCCGAATGGCAGAGTCAAAGAAAACAAACCTACCAGGCTCTGAGTCATTTGCCATTTTCCTCTTTTTCTTCTTCTTTTTCTTTTTTGATTCTGAATCAGGAGATGGCGCTGCTGCTGTTTCTCCATTGGTTAAAGCAGTAGGTTTCTGGGGTATCTTTTCAACTTTCGAGTTTTCCACTGTCTCTTCAGGCAAGCCTCCACTTTGTGCTTCTGCTGAGCCCACCCTCGCAGCATGCTTTACGGTTTTCTTAACTTTTCTGACCTTTACCTCTTCTTTGGGCACATCTTCATTGGAAGGTTGGGATAGGCTCGTGTTTGATGCTTCTTGCAGCTTCAGGTTTCGCTGCCGCAGCTTGATGTTCCGCTTCTCGATCTTCTTGCGCAGGAGTTTCATCTGTA